TGTGTGTGTGTGTGTGTGTGTGTGTGTGTGTGTGTGTGTGTGTGTGTTTCGTGAAAAAACATAATTACCATCTTGATTGAATGTCTCGATTTGACCTTCTTCGGTTGCATTACTGAATGTTGGCATTTGGGTGCAATACTGTTGATCCAAAAATACCAATCGTCGTGTGCCTTCTCTTCGATATGAAGAACTTTCGACTACTGGCAACGCATTAACATTAATGTCACCAGTTTGACGATAATTTAGATGCTCATCGGTTTCGACAAATGATAAATAAGGACTGATGCCACATGTAATTGTGTTTGAATTTTCTGAATTGTTCGTAGAACTTAGGAAGGAATGTTCTGATGAATTTCGCTCGGATGTCATAAAACCTGTGGTAGACGAAATTTGCTGACCCACAATAGGCCCAACAGCAGAACGTGTCATAAAATTTGTCGTCGTATTATTATCCATTGCACTATCCTGGGATATTATGTTTGCCGTTCCTCCAATATCGGAGGCATCGTCTTCAGCATCAATATCGGGATCGTTTGATGCCGTCTCAGAAGATTCGGGTACATACACATTATCAAATACCTCAATATACTGGCGTGTATTGCCATTGTTCTCATTCCGTTCTTCGGTACATTCTTCAGGCTCTATAATTTCAAATACAGGATAGATATATATATATATATATATATGTCTGTGCTTTAATTGTTTTTTTAATGAATAAATAATAAAACTACATTTTTGAAGAAGTTGAAGAATATGACGTGATGTGTGTTTTACTTAAATGTTCGATTAAAAATATTCGAAAATGACAGGCGAAATATATATTAAGATGAACGATTTTTGATAACTTGACATGATAACATTTCCCAATACAAAAACAATAACTAAGGATAAATGTGATTTATTTGTCTCTTCCTTTTTTTCATTTTAATATTCTTCACCTTTGACGCTATGATTGATTTTCTGAATCGATTTAAGCCTATCTGCCTACCTGTCTTCCCATATATTTTTGAATTCAGTTAAAAGTCATAATAATAAGAAAGAAAAATAGCCATATTAAGGGTAAGAACCATTTTTTTTTTAAACTTCCTCTTTATAAACGGTTTTACAAAAAAAAAAAAAAAAAAAAAAAAAAATTTCTGATTTTTAGTATTTTATGATTAAAATCTATGAAGAATAAATAAGAGTTTTTTTTTTTTTAAGAAGAAGAAGATTTGCATCACCTTGAATCACGTCTTAAATGTATACTAATTATCTTACCATCGTTATCATCTTCATCAATGATATCCTCATTTTCGGTTGAAACGTTCGAATCCGAATCAGTTTCGCTGGTACTAGCCTCGCCCAATATTGACGTTTGATTATCAATTATGGCTGGAGTATTCTCGGACGATGTAGAAGCGCCATCGCTACTGCAACCAGTTCCACTAATATGGGCGTCATCGTTATCATCATTATCCAAATGTTCATGATCGCTTTGACTTAACGTTGCCATATTCTCCGAGATAGTCGATACAGAAACGTTCTCTTCAATAGCTCTTAAATTTTCATTTTGTAACAAATTATTCCAAAGTCTATCAAAGTCCAGCTGAAAGAAAAGTGTTGCAAATTTTAAATATTATTTTCTCTTTATATACATTAGGAAAATTGAACCTTATTGAAAACTAATATCTATCAACTATGCATAGTATAATAGCTAGTTAGAAAATAGTTAGTTAGAATTCATTTTCAATAGGAATTTGAATCTGTAAAGAAAAAAAAAATCTGAAAAGATTACGAATGACATATAACGAAAAAGTTTTTCATATACTCAGTCAAAAATATATGTTTTAGAACTCTTGACCAATGTAAAATCGAAAATCCATTTAAAGCTATCGGTTTATCTGCCCAATGGGATTAGTGTAGCAAACTAAATGCTCACGAGAACGTAAGTGATTTGTGCACAAAAAATCCTCAAAATTCAAAAAAAAAAAGTGTAATTTTGAACAAAGTTTCGAAGCAAATTCTATTGATTCAATTCAAGCGTGACAAGCTTAAGACATGAACGTCTTGTTATGTAATCCTCCCTTACGAGAGTAGGGAAAGAATCGAAAGTTAGCTTGGTAGAGTCTATAAATAAACAATACTCACTGGACTCATTTGTAGAAGAATTTTTGAAAAATTAAATATTATCCTTTAAAAAATAACGAGTTGAAGGAGCAGAAATTTATCGAAAAAATTGCACTTTTTTGAAAAACCTAAACTAATTTGAAATTATATTCTATATTGCTCGAAACATGATAAGAAATAGTAGTTGAAAGCACTACTAAGATGATCTGAGATTTTTTTTTTTTTTTTCAATCTTCATTTCCGCGTAAATAATTTTTCCGTCTTTACAATCGGTCATCATTTCTTTTAAACTATGGCATGTTGTTTAACGCTTCTCTATTCGTATATAATTATTATTTGTTATTATTATTATTATTATTATTAAACATCACAGATTTTGAGGAGAGAAGGCTTGATATGTTCAATTTTCAATGATTTCAAGCTTGAAAATTTACATACATATAATATTTGATGATTATAATGAATTTAATATATTACTTACTTCTTGATCATTATTAAATGACATAAGTGTATTGGTCTCTTCGGTATCGTTATCCGTATTGGAACCAACTACAGCCTGAGAATCTGCGGAATTTGAAAATGTATCGTCATTATTGAAGATAAAATCGAAAGCTTGTCTTCGCTCCGAAAACACATTTCGTATGATAGTTCTTAACGTTTCATCCTCCTCGGTTGAATTATACCAATTGGAACGGGTCGTTCGTGGGAAAAGCCTACGATCTAAAACTGAATTTGTTGGAATGATACGCACATTTTGTGATGATAATGTAATGGGTGACACAGCAATACGTAACAATATGTCCATTGGTCGCAGTATACTTTGTACAGTTGATATTGTCTTTTGATTTGATAAATCGGTATATTGTGCTATTTTTATTAAGCTCGTCATAACACCTTTTCTTATTAACGTCTCGAACATATAGTTCTTATACGATAATACAGGGCTATCAATCATGACGGGTAATAGTCCAACAAGCACTTGTATACGAGTATGTTTCTCTGGGGAATCAGTCAAGATGAGGGCGCGTTTAATGGCGCTTTGGACTTCATCAACGACTTTCGTTTGTACGCCAATTTGTGTATAACAATCGGCTAAGGACGATATCAAGACTCGTGTCATGACGCTGACTTCGGAAATTTGTTGAGGACGCACTATTGGTAGGAAATTGTCCAAAACAAATGAAAGAAATGATTGCTCATGTTTAATGAGTGCGCTATCTTTTGGATAATATATATGGGAGGCAATTAAACGCGGTACTAATGTCTGATACGATCGAACGCTATCGACAAGAATTTTTAATAATGTTGATCTTGATATAACTGGTTTATGATGAACACGACCGCTGCAAGGTATATGCCAGCTGCAACAACATTGTTCGAATTTATCTTGTGTTCTGTTAGCAGCATCCTCTTTTCGTGGACTCTCCTAATTAATTATATTATTATTAATAATTAAAATTTTGTGATGATTGCAATACCACTGTTACTCAATTCATTATTACTTACATTTCGAGAAGCAGCTTCCAATTTTACATCTTCGGCATTATTTTGAGCTGGCACACCTCCGTAATGGATACATGGTTGGATAACTGCTTTTAAAAGTTCCTTTACAACTTTCACCGAACTTTGAACCGTTAGATTATCCTCAGAATGCGTTTCTTTACTTTCCATTTTTTTAGTTTTAGCGGCCTTTATAAGAAATTTCGAATGATCGAGAGAAAATTTCAAATTCGATGAACAATCCCATTGCAATATTTGTTTGGCTGTGCTAAGGAAAAGTGTAGGATTACGTGATACGGCCGATGACATTTGCGTAAGTGCAAAAAGTACATCCCGATGTGATGCCGGAATCTGTTGTGAAGTCTTCAATGTAAGTACTTGTTCGAATGTCTCTTGTAGGACCTTTGGTGCTTCGAGAAGATGACGAATTATTATAATTGCGTAAGTTGGAAACGCCATTATGCCACACGATTGTCGCATTTTTAATAGCAATTTCAAACCGCCATTTTTAAAGAAAATTTCAGCGTTCCTGTAATTCTTTGTTAGGCGCGAGCAAAGCTTCAATATAGCGAGCTGTGTATCAAATTGCAAGAAAAATCCATGTTGTAATAAACGAATTAAACATATAATAAAGCTGTTGTTATCAAGTTTCGATAAGCCGACAGATTCCTCATTTAGGACAATGCTTAAATATTTCTTTCGTATCGGAACGGCACCTTTTCCACTGTAGAATCCTTTCTTCTTAATATTGTTTTCCTTTTCTGCATAAGAATACAAAAAAACATTTATGTCACATATTTGCAAAAATATTAATATTCGTATAAAGCATTTTAAATAATAATTAATCAAATCCTATAGTAAAACTTTTGACGGGCGACAAGACAAACAAACGCTACAAAAAATTGATCGAAAACATAATTATTTTTTGGTATGCCACACACTTATTGGTGTGCGTTAAATGCCGTAGAGAAAAAATTAATATAATCTTTGATGATGAATATAATAAGTATACTGGCCTGATTTCCATTACCAATGAATAATATTGGAAAGAGAAGCTGAACTTAAAACAACAATATTGAGAATATTGTAATTCGATATGACCGAATCTTTCAAAAAAAAAAAAAAAATTTTTATACTCAACTTAATACAGAAGAATGTTTACCACCTTTACTACGCAGTTGTACAGACAGATAGATGGGCATGCTTAGGTGCATGCTTGCAATTTTGAAACTGGCCAAGAATTTATACAATCTATGGCGTTTACGAATCCCATTCTTGCGCTTTATAAAGGTATTGAAAAATTAAATTTTAATACCCTATCATATCGGATAGGGGAGTGGTCAAATTTTTCCCATTTTTATGTACAGGCAGAATATGCGTTCAAATTTTTGCAAATTTCTCTGCCTCAGTTTATGAGTAACGAAAAAAAAAAAAAAAACAAATTTTTATTCTTTTTGAAAAACAGAGATCTTCTCGGTCCACATGGTACTTCGATCGATTTGATCCATGTTCAATATCAACCTGCGTGCAAAAACTTCTAATGATTCTGCCAAAAAAAAAAAAAAGTGTATTTTGATTGTATAAACCACAACTGCGGCCCGTCGTAACGAATGGCGGCATGGGTTGCAGCTGCAACAAGACAAGAAAATCGTTCCGTAGGCAAAAATACTAACCGGCCGATTTAATATAAATAAAATGCAGACGAAAAAAATGCAAGAAGAAAAATGAAAAGATGAAGAACACAAAACCGCGGAAGAATGCCAACTATATAGAAATCACATGTTCCCATAACCAAGAAAATCAACAAAACTATTGCAATTTGAAGATCTTTTCGTTTTCTCAGAAGCCATCAGACCCAATACACGCTACAAAGTCGATCTATGAATTAAAAATTAGCGATGACGGATACTAGTAGACGAACAGTAGAGTTAAAAAATTTCAGAGAGAATTTACCTTCGTAATAGGCTTCATCCAAAACTGTTACTGATTGTCGTTTTTCTTCTTGTTTTTTCACACTTAGCAGACTTGAATCGTTGGTGTTAAAAATCGATTTTAAAAACAAGTTTTCATGACTGTGTTCAATGGTTCCATCCGGTTTTGATGAAACCGTATATGTTCGTATACAGTCAAGCGCCAAGTTGGTCTTGTCATTTCTCATTGTGGCAAGTAAATCCGTTAATTTTAGTGAGGGTAATACGGGTCTATGGCTTCCTGATGGTTCGCTTACATGCGTCATGCAATTAAAATTCATTGTATATCGTTGACGTCCTATGTTAATATTTACAGAACGTTCTCCGCTATTGAAAGCTTTTTGAATTATTGCATTATTCGCTTCCGAGTAAGTGTTCCATTTGCCATTCGATATATCATACCATTTCCAGACGTCGTTAGTTATGGATTCAACATTCGCCTTACGCTGCAATATAAGACTAGCACTGTCTACGGAATCTATAAATTCTATTATGTTATGCAACCATAGAGGTATTTTCTTTTTAGCCCCTAATTGCGATTGATTCGTTAGCATGATTTCAGTTTGAATGAGAAGCGAAACTAAAGCACTTAAACAATTTTTTTCCAGCAAATGTTTGCAAAACTCTTTTCTAAATTCAATATACGTTTCTTCAAGCAAAAGCGTGAATACTTTCAATCTTGTTTGTAATTTTGTGGCCGTCGAGCCAACGATGCAATCATCTTTAAGTTCACACGAATTTTTTGAATCGTTTATAGTTTGCGTTACATTGCCACACCAATATTGCAGATCGCAGACTAGCTTATCAATGAAAACTTTCTTTTCGTGTTGGCTCCTTCGACGATATAGGACGGATATTAATTCAGAACCCACGTTAATGATGTCAGGAATTATATATTTCTCCATTATTTGAAAGATTTTTTCGATAATTTCATCACAAAATTTGTTGAATATATCATCGGGAATTAAAAAAATTTCAGTTGTTTGAGGACAAGTTTTAACGGTCGGCAATTTAGTTTCCAATTGCGCGGTCGGCGACGGAAGTTCAGATTCACCATCAATTTTATTCGATTTTGAAGAACTGCTCGAAAAAGAGGTTTCGCCTCCGCACACGTTATCTAATATTTCAGAATTTTCGCTACGATTCAAAAGATAATCCATGGCTTGTTCTAACGACGAAGTGCTTCGAAGTGCTTCCAATACTTGATATCTCTCAAAACCCATATCAATCAGTATTCTTAAATTGCCTCTAAATATGCCACCTAAGATTGACCAAGAAGAAGAAGAAGAAGAAGAAGAAAAAATAAACAAAATTAAAAAAAACACCTACACACACACACACACACACACACACACACACACACACACAC